TTGATATGCAGTTTATAAATGTAGCGAAAAAGAATGTTTGAATGCGGAAGGAATGCGCGCCGAATAAATGAGAACGAATGAGATCGAGTAATAGGTAAGGTGTGAGTGATTGGACGAGTGATGTATGAAAGGGAAGTGGAAGGAGTGCGAACGGAACATAAATACGGGCCAAAGAGACAAAGCAGATAGGGTTGGAAAATAAAGCATACTGATAGCACGTGTCTCATTCAAATTATTTCTAACATAAATTAAACTATTAATGCCTATTAAAAAAAATGTGTTTGCTTAGGGTGTGATGATGGCGATGATGCATAACTTATTAAAATAGTACAAAGTAAAAGTGAAACAATAATACTGTTTTGAATGATTATTTCTATAAATATTACATGTATGAAATATTTAAAAAATTCAACTTGTCTGTAATTCTACAGCTATTTTAGCTTAAGAAACAATTAATTTTTTAAGTGTATTGTCTTGAAATCGTTACTTGCAATATTTTACTTCTGGGACACTGTTGAATATATGTGTAAAAATATTCATCAATATTTAATTCTTTGTCCAGTGATCTCTATAGTTGCAAACATTAACAAATGGTTCTCAATGATAAAGTCATAGAACAATTGGACAGAATATCTCTAAAATATTGTGAAAATTTAATAATGAGTACATCAAAATAACTGATTATGGTTCAGAAGTAAAATATTATACCTAACAAACTCAATGTAACAAAGTTAAAACATTAATTGTCTATTAGACTGAAATACATAGGTGTACAATTACATAAATACGATAATTAAGCAAATTTAGTTGTTAATCATTTTGTACGTCACAATTTTTTCCATATTATTCATTACATTGTTTTCAATGTAGAAGAATAAATGAAACTACCGTTCAATCATATGATGTGCATTCTTTGAATGAAACTATTGTTCAACACCATTACTAACCACCTTAAAAATATTTGACATTCTCATGCCTAACTCTGACTTTGTTATAAATTTATATGCTTACATAACTACTTATATTCAGTATGAATTAAACATGATACGAAATGTAGTTGATTATGACTGAAAATATCTAAAAACATTGAAACAGTTTATGAAAACAATATTCTATACACTACACATTCTGTGATGAAATATGCGAGTTAAACGTGACACCGTATGTATTGCATCCTGGCGACAGAGCAGGGTACGCGCACGTGCGTCAGAAATACATGTGCGCGAAGGGCGTTCCCATGTTACAATAAAAGGGCCTGCAATAAACAATCACCTACTGTATGTAGCTGCGTCGCACGACTGAACGGCCGAGTGGTGAGGAAAGCGCTCGGGTAACTGGTGTCCGATTCCTGCACGGTTCCGGAAGGTCTGTGGTCTGTCCCCTACAGCTCTGACTAGCGTGGGAAACGAATGTCTACTGTGCTGCCCCGACTCGTGCGGGAATTGAATGTCTACTGTATCATCTGATGGGACTTCGTGTCTCATGTTCTTAAATACCGATCGTGCCAAAAATCATGTACCACGGACGAGATACAGTAGACATTCGTTTCCCGCGCCACCGTTATCTGCACGAAAGCCACGCCCCATGCTCAGACGTATTTCTCATACACGCGCGCGTACCCTACTCTGTCGCCCAGCACCAGAACACATACGGTGTCGCGTTTAACTCGCATATCTCATCACGGAAAGCGCAGTATATATAATACTGTTTTAATAATGTTTTTATTGGTTGAATAAATATTGGTGGCAATTCACACGTAATAGGTAACAGATGCTAACCAAGCTATGGTCTGTTTTTCGGAAGAAGAGCCCTGGGAGGTAGGCCCGACTTTTTGCGGTGTTGTCGCGATTGCGAGACATCTACGGCACTTGTGTCTCTCTCACTCTTTGCGTCTTGGCCAATGACGTTCGACCGTCGACGTGCGTCCTCGTCTACGGTCGTCTGTCTCCATCGCACGTATTACAAACCTCTCGAGTAGGACCTACCTACAATCTCAAGGAGTGGGGACTGCGTTCGGGATGCGCCCGTCAATCATCCATTGTCTGGAAATGGCGGAGAATGTTGACGAGGAGACGCTAAACGTTTTCACACGTCAAGAGTTAAAATACATGAATAAGAAAAAGTTTATTTCTTTGGAAAGAATGTATTGTACCCAAATATTGAGCAACATATTAAAAGGGGATTAAATTAATACGTAGATTATTAAACGCTACATGTGAAAATCGCAGGGTAAAGAAAGAAGTTGGTTTACCGAGCGTCTGAGCGAGAGGCTCTCGTGCCGAAGTGCCGGAGGATGGAAAGAAACACACAGTGGCGTTGCGACCGTGACAACGTCGCACGAAATACGCAGCTCGCATTGGATCCCCACCAGGCCACGCGCTGAGGCAGGGCGACCTCTGAGGGCTCTTCTTTCGAAAAACAGACCATAGACATTTGCCACTAAAATATGTCACGAATTATTACCTTTTTCACATAGTACCTTAATGCTTTATTACGTAGAATGTTTGGAAGAATCGATTTATGTAATAAAAGTATTTTATTCCATAATATTTCAATATCATTAATAAAAATAACATAATTAACTTTGAAAACTTAGAAGATACTCCACCTACGAAAAAATTGTTACTGCTAAGTAATAGCCCTCTTCATACTGAACAACATCTGTGAATAAACTTTTCTGATATCTCTAAAAATAACGGAGATAGTTAATGTAACAGTAAAGTGCGCATATCTAACCCACCCTATCTATAGTTGCGTCGCACAACTTAACGGCCGAGTGGTGGGGAAAGCGCTCGGGTAACTGGTGTCCGATTCCTGCACGGTTCCTGGAATTGTGGCCCGGTACAGCTCCGACTAGTGCGGGAAACGAATGTCTACTGTAGATAAAAAGTTTCGAATAACGAATAAAAGATAAAAAAAGTATTTCGTCATTTTTAATTGTTTAAACGTGGAAATTTCAATTTTTCATGAATTGACATTTGTCGAACAATTATTTAATCTCATTAACTGTTTAAAGGTCAGAACGACACCCTTAGATACTACTGCTTTTCACTGTGTATTATTCCAATAAAATTTTGTCCAACTCTGGTTTCAATGCTCAATAACTTCTGTGAATAAACTTTTTTAATGTCTCTAAAAATAATGGAGATACAGTAGACATTCGTTTCCCGCACTAGTCGGAGCTGTAGCGGGCCAGAATTCCAGAAATCTTACAGGAAGTAAACGCCAGTTACCCGAGCGCTTCCCCACCACTCAGCCGTTCAGTCGTGCGACGCAGCCATAGATAGGATGGGCTGGATATGCGTATTTTACGGTTACATTAATTATCTCCGTTATTTTTAGAGATATCAGAAAAGTCTATTCACAGATGTTGTTCAGTATGAAGAGGGCTATTACTTAGCAGTAACAAGTTGTTCGTAGGTGGAGTATCTTCTAAGTTTTCAAAGTTAATTATGATATTTTTATTAATGATATTGAAATATTATGGAATAAAATACTTTTATTACATAAATCAATTCTTCCAAACATTCTGCGTAATAAATTATTAAGGTATTATGTGAAAAAGGTAATAATTCGTGACATATTTTACATAAAAAATTTGAAATATGTCACGAATTGTTATGTAACTCCTACTCAACCTACAAGAAAATTATTATTGCTATGTTACGGTCCGTCTGATAGTATTTAAGTACTGTACTTTCTGATCGCTTGATGTGAAATGAAATTGCCACCAATATTTATACAGTTGTCGGCGAAATTGTTGTTCAAACAAAACATTCAAATGTGTCGTTGAATTCGTCTTCAAATGCTTAATAAGACGACAGTAAACAAAATATGTAGTTCCATTGTAATAAATTATATTGATATTAGAATCTATGTAAATAACAATAGTAGAAAAATTCAAATATTCTATTAAGTTTACTTCATGAAATCAAACAGTTTTCATATGAAACATTTCTTCGCATTTTCAATGGTTACAGAAATAATAGCGTGTATATAGTTAAACCGGATATTCTCTACATATTATTTTACCATTTTTTCAGTTTCTATGGTTAAACACCTTAAAGATATTTATATATTCTTATTCTTCACTCTAACTATGTTATACCGTATACTTGTTGCGTAATTTTTACAGGTTTAACTGCTTACATAAGTATTTATATTCATTATGAATGAAGAATAATACGAAATGTCGTTGATTATAACTGAAAGTACCTAAAAACATTACAACATTTCATTAAAACAGTATTATATATACTGCGCTTTCCGTGATGAGATATGCGAATTAAACGCGACACCGTATGTGTTCCGGCCTGAGCGTGCTAGGCGACAGAGTAGGGTACGCGCGCGTGTGTGAGAAATACATGTGAGCAAGGGGCGTGGCTTTCGTACAGATAACGGTGGCGCGGGAAGCGAATGTCTACTGTAGTAATAGTGGTAACGGTGATCGAACAGCTGTATATCCAGCCCACGCTATATGTACGTACGTACGTTAAACAAGTGAGCGGGTGATTGGAGGGGACAGCGTGCGGATGATTGGAGCTCGCTTAATGTAGTATCTCTGGAAATTTAGCCCTCTACAACACCGAATGGTGAAATAAACGAGCTTCTACTGTACCTACTATGAAATTGTAAGTATTGTTATATACAATGTTTACTCATACGCTATATAGCGTTGGTACAAAATGGAGAAACGAGACTACCATAATACTATGAAAATCGTTGAAAATATCTTTTATTTATTAATATGTACACATAAAATTAAATTTCACTGATAAATATTTATTTTGAAATAACTATTTATTAACCTTTTATTTCATTTGTTTACTGTTTCATTTGATTTGTACCATTCATGTAATATATAATACAATTTCAGACTATCGTGAATTGGCAGCTTGAATTGCATTTACAGAATAAATAATGCTGCAACATCTCAGGGAAGTTTTTCTAACGTTAATTTAATACAAAATATTTCTAACAATTTAGTTCCTATTTTTTCTTCAAAATTGTTCGTCATCGTAGTACGCTCTGTAACTAGGGTGCCATTTGTGCACACGAATTATCGGTCTCCTATTTTCCCATTGCGGTCGGTGCGGCGTAACGTGTAATATAATCGATTCACGATTTTGTTCACGATGTCCTCTGTGTGGTTTCACATCAATTTCCAATTTTGGCTGGTTCGAAGGTTGACGATCTAGACGTTAGAATTATTTATCGATCGATAATTGTACTTATTATTACGAATAGAATACACATTAATCCACTAATGGAATATTAATTAATACATTCACCATGCAGTATACTATTTACTTACACTAGAGTATAGTATTTTAGAAAATGCTCACGACTGAGGATCAGTGGTGAACATTTTTTTTGATACGGGGGATTGCTATGTTCTTATAGAATCGAAATTGAATTATTGCTCTCGATTGTTGTATGTATATAAATGTATTCGCTAAAAAAGGTGTGGTAAAATTGAAAACTTTCCACATGGTCATTGCAGAAATTGTTTACACTCGTATTAGAAATACAAGTACACTTATATAAACAAAAATCAATAAATTCATAAAAATTTACTGAAATGCAAAAATAACAGAAAAGGTTGTAGGTAGGTACATAATGTAGCTAAGTAACAAATCAGTTTTGATTTCCCAGACAAAAGAAATGATAATGATGTATGGCAAGATATTTTCATTGACTCTTGAAGATGACTACTTTAACATTCCATCTCTATTGATTGATCAGTGAAGATATTTTTCACGTCCTCTATGCGAATCATTCTTGCTACAGATGTTTGATCTCTTCCATGAAATATTTTTAGCCAGGGATAGTATATGTTGGTATAGTAGAACTCTATTTATCTGAACCGGTCGGGAGACAAAACAGTTCATATATGTAAATGGATCGTTTATACGTATAATAGGAGTTTACTGATTTTCCCCGCTACCTGTGATTTCTCATTTAAATAGTCCAAGTTAACGTTCAGATAAGTGTAGGTAGTTATAGTAGGTAGTTACAGTAATGCTTCAAACCTTATAATCTTAAAAATAAAGGGACCAATAATGTTGTAATGCTTAGTGAATACATTCTGTTGTAAATTAATAAAACATGATTGTGATATTCGTATAACTGGAAGTGACGGCTGGAAGTAGTTCAGATAACAGGAGCTCAGCATTTCAGTAAATCGGGCATGAACTAAAATTTCGTTCCAATAAATGGAGTTAGGGTAAATTCAGTTTTATAGTACGTATAATAGTGCATATATTCTAAAAATTAACCCCAAGTTGCATTATATTACCATTACTGTTATGATTTGGACGAATGTTGGTCCAAGTCGGTTGTCCTTGATTTCCATTTGGAAACCGAATGTGTGTCCCTCCAGAGTGTCCAATGCTTCCCGCGCTCGACGACGCAGAGGAATGCAGAGAGCCAACAGAAGAGGATGCAGCAGTCGCTACATGTCCGTTTTGGACAGCTCCGGATGACGAAGCAGCCGTGTTACCAAATCCAAACGAATTACTGTTCACGTTTCCTTGGTTACCGTGCACGGGATGATATTGACCAACAGATTGAGCAGCAGATCCAGCAATACCTGTTGCTCCAGCGGCTAATGACACAGATTGACTTTGCGAAATGGCTCTGAACAGAAATATTTACATAATTTGTCATGGAATGATAATTCTTACAGTGTATTATTATAATTACATCCGAATAAAGTTTTTTATTTTCTTGCAAACCAACGTAAATATTGAAGTACTTAAAAGGACTTTCTATAATTGTTTTCTTCTAACTTCACCTTGATAAAGTCAGTAATAACTATAATCATAAATAAATTAGAAGTAAATAAATCATGTACCCTGTTAGTTTATCAACAGAATATGATTATAAATGAAACTTTCTTTAAACGAATACTTAATCTGAAATATACAATGTTATGTAGTAAATAACGTTTCTTTATAACCAGCTTTTCATGCCAAACATGATTGTATAATTATTATGATAATACATTTTTGAACGTTACAGCCCTCATCGAGTCACTCTGTATTCCTTTTAATTTAAGTACATTCCTTTTTTGTACGCTACAGTGTGCAACCAAAATTGTGGTACATACATACATAGGTCAATTGTGTATATTGAAAATGAAATTTTTTCAATATAAAACTGTTTTAAGAAAATAATGGACAGACATGCTTACAATGTTCTATTAAATGATAAGCGTACGTGTTGAATAAGCAAATACAATTTTTCCCAAAATAGTTAGAAATCTAAAGGTCGATCGTCAGTTATCATAAAACGATGAAAGGAAAGATTGATTTATTAAAGTCTTTACTCTATTTTTTCGTATAATGACCACTGACATCCACGCTGTTGCATGTTATTATGTCAGCTTGTTTGTTTCTGTGGCAAAAAAGTTGTCCGCCAGCAGCTTGAGTTACATAATCACCTATCTTCGATTCTTCATCTCTTGCAAAGTATTATACATATGTGTCATAGGCGGAAGCCACTGTTTCATGTACAGAATAAATGGTACTTATTTACCGCAAGATCGAGATTACAAGAACTGACATTAAAAGTGGTTACATCGTTCAAATCTCCGGCGGGAAATTTTCGTCACAAGAGTAAGAAAATTGGTACATCTATTCACAGTATGTAACAAATTCAATGGCGACTACATGGAAGAGTAGAGTAGATACGCACGAAGTCTGTCAGAAAAGTAACGGGACTGACAGCGAAGAAATATGTATTGTCAAGTTATTTACAAATTAACAGTATCCACTTCAAGGTAAGTCCCTTGGGAAATCATTAATGGCTGGAGACGATGTTCTCACTTCTTGAAGTAATGCTGGAAGTCTTCAACTGAAATTGTCTTTAGTTGGTCTGTCACAACCTATTGAACGTTGTCCATAGTTCCAAGACAACCACCTCTAAGTTGTTCTATTTAGGAAAAGAAAATGGTCACACGGGCTCAGATCAAGAGAGTAATGAGCTTGTGGTCCCATAGCAATATCCTTGTTGGTCAAAACTTCATTTACAGAGAGTTTTCTTGGTTGTTGCATTATAACAACGTTCACTGCCCCACTGTACTCTCTGTGAACTTCTACTGTCCCTTACTCCCCTAATCTGAATCCATGTGACTTCTTTCTGTTCCCAAAAATCAAAACTCATCTCAAGGGACGTCATCTTGGAACTATGGACAACATCCAATAGCTTGGGACAGTTCAACTGAAAGTATTTCCAGTTACATACTTCCATTACTATTCCTTGAAGTGGGAACAGTGTCTTCAGCGGTTTGTAGTTTCCCAAGGGAACTATCTTGAAGGTAGTAATGTTCATCTCTAGATAACTCGACAATACAAATTTCTACGCTATCGGCCGCATTAACTGCCTTACAGACTACTGGTAGACACTTTCAGTCGATAATAGATCATTTACTTCTTTCATAGTTTTTTAATAATTGACTTCGGTTCCTCTTCGGTTCCCACGATCTCAGTTACATCCTGCATTCTCTTCCTAGTTTCATCGATCGTAAAAACGTACGGATGATTGAAGCTGTTGCTCTCGGAGTAGCTGAGACCCTCGGGGCCTACTTGAAAGCCCAAGGAGTGCGCATTGTTTCCCGTGTTCAAGTTAATATTCGCCGTAATCGGAATGGACAACGATCGTCCGTTCTTGGTGTAGGGCTGCCTGATTACTTGCTCCGGTATGAGCTCCGGTGGCGTGTTCCATCGTCGTTCATCTTCTGTGAGAAGAGCGCGATCGTCTGAGGAATGAGACACGTTTATATGTGACACATATGGGACGACTTATTTCCTCTGCGTATATACCTTTACCTTCCTTCGTTCTTGACTTAAAGAAAACAGGATCGACAAATAAGAACATATTAGCAAAGAATCTTTTATTCTCTTTTACGTCTGGTCGACTACCATAGGGGGTTACTCACGTAAGAATAACTTTGTTGGGATTGAAGACAGGTGAATGTGCCTAACAAGGAAACATCCCGAACTGACAATTGCCGCTTTTGATGAAACTCTGTGAGATTGTAGTTCTCATAAAAATATTTGACACGTATTTCTTTTAGCTGCTCTTATCCATGTTGAAGGTGTGACAACACCCCCTATATAGTTTTCACATACAAGTGTACAAGAAAATAGATTAACATTGGACCAGAAAAATGAACAAAAAGTACTATTTCTTGAATGTATTGTTTAAACATGGATTACTCTGGAATCCTATCATATAGCTGGATTCCTTATAAAAAAATACATAATATTGCAATCTATATACCGTTTTTATATCTTTAATAATTTTCGAGATATTCGATCGAATACAGTTCATAACTTTGAGAGCTATTTTCGCCACTTAAACGTGGATAAGAGCAGCTAAAAAAAATACGTGTCGAATATTTGTATTAGAACTACTCTCTCACAGAGTTGCATCAAAATCGGCGATTCTCAATTCGGGATATTCCCTTGCAAGACACAAGTTGTACTGTTGAAGGGGGGGAAGGTGGTGGTATAAACAAACTTTTTGTTTCATGTTATTTTTAAGTTTCTTTGAAGGCTATAAATATTATTTTAGGTAATATCATGTAGGTTTAACTTCATAGCGTTGTAGCTGATGTGAATATGAGGTCAGTGACATAGTAAACTATGACCTTGAAATGACCTTGGCTTCAGAAATCTAAGTTCGGTGAACAATTAAACATTAATGTGTGTGTAGTTCGTTCCCAATCTGTCGGGTTTTATTCGTAGCGACAACCTGTGTCGTCTTATTGAAATTTCAATTGATTCGTAGATTTGGAATTAAAACAACATTTTGTAGCCTTACATAGCGATTAAATGCTTGCGTGCTTAGAGAAGGTCGTCACTTTGAACACTTAATGTTATCTAAAATAAACAATTTTCCATATTAATGTTTCAGTTGATCGAACTTAGATTTCTGGGTCCGAGGTCATTTCAAGGTCATAGTTTACTATGTCACTGAACTCACCTCCACACCAACTACAACGCTATGACGTTAAAACTACATGATGACATTAAAAAAAACATATATCACCGTCAAATAATGTTGAAATAACATCAAACATAAAGTTTGTTTATATCACTACTTCTGCACCCCTTGCACAATACCATTTTTGTCTTGGATACGTTCTGGTATCTTCAATCCAAACAGAGATATTTAGGTAGATTCTATTTCTTGTGACTAACCCTGTATACCTCCACCTTCTTTTGTTTGTCTGTACTTTTCAAGTGGTACTATTTATTTTATCAGTGAGTCTACTCAGAAGTATTTAAAATCAATTAAAATGGATGATGGGTTGAGATGAAATTCGGTTAAAATCTATACATATACGTATGTACACTTGAAAATTTTAAGTCAGACTAGAAAATAAATTCTATCAAATTGTATTTACAAAAGAAACGTTATATCAAAAAGACTACAATTAATAATGTTTTTTATGAATTATTTTGAAACTTTAAATTTTACTTACACGAATTGGTGTTTATTATAGTTATTGTATGAACATGGACATACGTGTAACACAAATAATGATAGTTGAACTAATAAAATTTTTGGAAGTCAAATAGAACATAAATTACCATTAAAAAGGACATTTTATATGCAAGAATCTAACTTACTTAACACGTATGTCGCTCGAATGGTATTACAGGATTTTATGACATATGTAACAATTATACGAAATGTACACCCCCGTTCATAAGTATTAGGACACCTGCTGGTCTCATACAAAATTTGATAGTTGATGTAGATTATATAATTTTTACCAGTTTTATGAGGCTATACTAGTAAAAATGATATTAAAGTACATGTACTCGCTGTTTCTATCATTAATTATTTGCAAGAGCTACAGGAAAATAATGAATTGAAAATTATGTGTTCATCCCCACAATACCCTAATTTAAACTCCATTGACAAAATATCGAATCAATCAGATCGAAAAGTCCGAGAAGTCTGCCCAAAATCTGGATCTAACTTGTGGAATCATTTACAGCACGCGTGGAATCAAATAGCAACATATACAATACAAAAGTTAATAAGACGAATTGTCAAAATTAGTTAAAAAAGTTATATGAAACAGAATAATGTCAAACAGCGAGAACAGCGGATGTATAGACCAGAAGAAAATTTAATTTTATTATACATAATTGATGAGATTTTTGTAACATGGATTGTACGAATTCTTTATTGTCTAACAACTCAAACTAGGTAATAATTGTTAAAGGTTTTAAGTAATTGTCCAACGATTTACCAGGTTTACTTACTTCTCCATAAGTATCTCAATATTTTCGAACGGGGGTGTACTTTCGATTTGTAAAAATATGATTTTTACCTGCCGCCGCGGTTAAAAACACGACACACAGTGAGACGATAAAATGACCACTCCCGGCCATGTCTAACAGCGTTCTGACTGCTGCATGACTACTCTCCGCCCTTTTTCAAGAAGTATGAACGACCTTAAAGTCCTTATTGATATTCACCGTGTGTCCATCCGCGTAATACACTCCGATGAGCGGAGTCACAATCACGTGGTGACTCGGACGCATGAAAAGAAATGTGATTTTCGGTGAACCGCGATCGATTTCGCACAGTAGCACCTCAAGAACGAAAGTACAAAGCGACGTAAACAGACTTGGACACTGGAAAACCAAAATTTATATTAATAATAATTTTGAATAATTTCAGAATAAACTTATTAATTACTATTGTTACTTAATAAATGATATATTTATGACAGAGAATTTCTAAAATGTTTTACAAATTTTTGTTCCCAGTAAACGTAATGTGAATACATTATTACAGTTGGGAATATGGAATTCTTGTGATTTAACATTGAATTTTTCAGTAAATTTTATTTTGGGCGCCTGGTTTTAGAAGATTTGTACAAAGCGAGTTATTTAATTTACAGGGATGATAGTTTGTGTCTCCATGGAGATATATAGAAAATGGGGGTAACATTTGAATCCTGTATACAATAACATCTATTTCGAATACGCTTGGTATTTTCGTCAGTATAAAAATTGTTTAAAAAAGTACAGCTGTACTTGTTTTCTAGATTTATTTTTACACCGCCTGAGTTCATGAAAAGAAATAAAAAAGTAATATTGTGAAATAATTACAAGGTAATCTTTTTCAACGTGAAATCTCACTTGTAAGTTCATTATTCGTCTCAGATTCATATTAACATATTTTACGAAATGATTTGTGTATTAAGTAAATTTTTTGATTAAGAAAAGTTTATTCAGCATCTGCATGGTTACAATTATAAAACTGATTCTCTTCCAAACACGAAGTTACTTAACAACTCTGCAACGAACACAATTCTTTTATTCTCATTTTAAACCCATCTCTACTTATACCTACTTTCGAATGGAATATACACTACCGTTCATAAATACTTGCTAGCCCATCGAAGAAATGTTTACTCCTTTTCATTTTACATATCACTTTGTGGACTTTCAGTAAATGACCATGAGTAGACAGCGGGTTGTATACATTTATAGAATAATCGATTAAAACCCTTAACAAAATAAATAAAGTTTCTTTGTGATCAGTGTTGAAAAATTAACCCATATAGTTGAATATTTGCATAAAAATCCACAGTCTAATCATGAGCTTTGTGTGCTTTATGGCCCTTATTACGAAGGAAAGTAATTGTTTTGGAAATGTAGGCACCTGTTTCAGTAAATGTCAATCAAGTGTATGCGCAATATATCTACCGTAAATGTTCAATTGAAACTGTCAAGAATGAGTTATTTTACAATTATATTTATACTTTTAATTCTTGCACATTCGTATCGTTATTTGAGGGTGTTGCAACTCTTCGTACGTTCGAAGCACTTCCGTTGTCGTCGGTAGTCAATGACATTCCCTTGAGATTCTTCTCTACATTAACACTATATTCCCCGCTAACCGACCGAACATTTTTGTGTGCTACTTCAATCAGCATAATTCGTGGAATTCACAAGATTAACCCTTTGCTGGTGAGGCGTGGTCTGAGTAATCCCATGAATATTTTGAAAGAAAAGCTTGTTTTACTTCGAAGTGTTCTTACATGAGAATGCAAAACAAATAATTATGTAATAAGTAATATGATTTCCACCCCATCAGTTAACGGTTAACAGTCTTCTGTTCCATCTAATCTAATAATTCTACACCTTCGATTCGTCTGGTATTTGTAATGCTTCTATTTCTTGGGGTTTCGCTATCAATTCCGATCCTTCGTTGTTTTCGTGATCATTTTTATTACTCTGGTTTTCATTGACATCAGGCAGAAGATACGTATCAATATTCTCAGAAGGTTTTAGCGTTTCCTTATTAACCGTCTCCACTGGAGCTGTCTCCTTTTCATTAGTACTCGTTTCGACTGCACTAAAACTGTCGCCATTTATCACCCCATCGTCTACATTAATGGGCATCATCTCATATTTTTCCGTGTTCTGAACTGTGTCCACCTTTTCATCATCTGTGACATCAATGACTGTTGGTTCTAGTGGGTCGACTATCACCGTCTCAGGTCCTTTCTCAGCTTGATCGATGTGAGACACGACATCCACTTTTGTAGGGCAAGGTTTTGGTTTGGTTGCTGTTCAAAATACATATTGATTCAATTGACTACTTTCATCGAAGTATCATCAACACGCCAGTATTGGTTCAAAACGTTAGTAAATCGGAATAATATTAGGTTGTTGCGTATGAAATTACCCTTTTATTACCGGTAGTTGATATTGTATTGGATATTATACGAATTTTATTAGAGAAAGTAAAATTCCATAGACCCTATACATGTTTCTCCTTGAAACACAAATGTGACATTCATTATATAATTATTATGCTGCATTTATAGGTGACTTTTCGAAGACACTTTTCGCTGCCATAAAATGCTAAATAGTATTTTTTTAGCAGAAATTTACATGTATCTATAAAGTTTATTTATGAATTTGACTTAAATGATCATCTTCTATTGCATGTGGAGGAAATGGCTGAATTTTACTGAAATTGATTCTCCATCTTAATAAAATTTAGTGTTTAATAGAATTGATTTTATTGTTATGTTAGATAGTACCTTGAAATGAGTAGAGTACATTGTGTAATTTTGCTATAAAAAAAGAAGTTATGTTAATAATTCTTATTCATAAAATTAACGTCGAACATACTTATTACTAAATTTCATATGCAACGACCTAATACGTTTGATTGTCCGAAAATTAATTGAAGACTTTTTTAATCGTATATTTACGGAGTTGATACACACTACAGCTCAAAAGCTTGGGATCTTTATTAATAATACGAAAATGGTTAGATGATATTTCTATAAAATATACGGCGTCCTGATATCTCCTATTGTGTAAATGTGAATAAAAGGAGTAATTATCATATTACATTGTTATAAACAAAGTTTGATGCAATAGAACGTTCAGCATGAAATTTTTCTTTTTAACGTTATAAATGTCATTAATATTTTATTTAATAAAAATGTATGCTTTGTCAAAGCGTTAAGATAATTATGGATATACCTATATTCATATATTCCTATCATTGTTCCGTTTAAAAATATACTAATATTGGTTATATATTTTTTATACTATCAACCAAAGGAAACACAGTAATGAAACAAAAAATGAAACATCGGAGTAAATTATGTTGTTTTAAAAGTTATGAATAAGATCGATGATTCCAAACTTTTCGATGGTATTGTATGTATAGCTCTGTTAATCCTCCAAACGTTAGTGTAATTGACTGTCAGTTGAAAATATTTTGTTTACTATGGTGTGAGCTTTCAGGGGACTAGGCAGTCGTTTTTCATGAAAAAATTTCTTTTCTTTTATCTGTAGAACAATTAAAGCAAATCCAGATGTATCCTTTTACCCAATGTTTATCACTATCATATTGAATGAAAAAAATTGGTATGGAATATATGTGTGCTGAAGGCAGACTGTTTTGTATATTTAACTTTTTCAAAAGACGTACATAATAAGCAGAACATAGGTAGAATCATAATTATCAGTATATGAAAATGTTAATTGTGAGATATTGTTACTATGATTACCTTCAATGATTTGTTTCACAATTTCGAGAATATCCTTTAGTGTACACTCCATCGTTGTGATTTTCGTTTTCATGAGTGCCATGTCTCCGTTATCTTTGAATAAATTGCTTATGGTGAACGTCGGAACTGGCAGAGACCAAAACTTATGAATACGTGGTTGCTCCTCTAGATTTGTTTCGAACATTTTTGGGCTTCTAAGGACATCAATGTTAACCAAGGGTTCGTTGTTCGAGAGTGGATTACCTGAAATGAAGATACCTATGATGTAGTCCACACTAAATATGTTTATGCAGATGTACAGGGTGAGTCATTTAAATCGATTCTCTCGAATCTCTTCGGAACCGTTGATGATACCGAAGAATATTTCAGATAAAAGGTGAACGGCTTCGAAGGGGAAATAATTCGATGTGAGTGGTTTTTCTGTAGCTGGTAGTGTAGAGGACATATGAAGGTCAAATTTTTTGCTTAAATAGAACTATATAAGTTTGTAATACATTAGTCGATGCTTGTGAAAAAGTAATAAGCTATTTATGCCAAAAAAAACGGTTAGTTTAGGAGATAGTTGAGTTTCCAAATTGTGTTCAGGCTCTGCATTCAGATGTACTTTTGAACATTAACTTTAAGAAGTTAACATCGTATTACTAGTACCACTTCGCAATACCGAAATTAAAACGTCTCCTAAACTAACGATTTTACGGCACAAATGGCTTAATACTTTTTTATAGGGAATGACGAGCTCCATCGATTACTGCATTGAAAACGTATGGTTCCATTTAAAATGACAAATTTGACCTTCGTATGTCCACTACACATCCACCTACAATGAAACTACTCACATCAAATTATTTCCCTTACGAAACCATTTAACCTTTAAGTGAAACATTTTTCGACATCATTAACGATTTCAAAGATATTCAAGGGGATCAATTTAATTAGAAAATACTTTATGTAATATGAACAGTATAAAATATACTTTGAACTTTTATACATAAAACTATAAAAATATACTCTGAAAATGTAAAATAATTTATTATTGATACATTCTTAGCCACATTTACAGGTAGATAATAATTATTTCTTTAGAAACAAATATGTAGGTAGTTTTATTTGTACAAATATATCGACAAATGTTTGATGACTATTATACATATCTCATTGCATCGAGCATTTCGAAAACTTTCGAAAAATTTTTGTAAGTCTGACAGTCCTTAACATTTTTTTCATCGACTAAAGTATTATAAATAATATTTTCTTAAAATGCCGTAATCTTGAACACGTATATTTATATTAAAAGTATTAGCTTCTACTAATACATGATAATTGTACTTCTTTATTCAGAGATTG